TATATTTAAAGGCAAAATGAGATTGTTGAGTTATTGTTGGCTATAATGTTATATATGCATCTTGAAATTTGGATAATCATCAAATAAGGCAAATAATGAAAATTCAACTTCACATTTTTACTTTAAAGAGATAGTTCACCCAAAAATTAAAACTCATTTACTCACCCTCAATAGTTCCAAACCTGTATAGATTATTTTTTCCACTGAACATCATAGAATATATTTTCAAGAATGTAGGTAACCAATCAGTTGCTGGTCCCCATTGACTACCATAATACAGAAAAATAAATAAATAATTAAAATTACAACAACAAAAAAAATACTATATATATAGTCATGTTACTACTAGCAACCATTTGATTATCCACTTTCTTCAAAATATCTTCTTTTGTGTTTAACAAAATAAATACATAATACATTTCTGAAAGAAATGCAGTCATTTAAGGATGATATTCTAAACAATTCTACCACTATTCCTTGGTAGCAAATGGCTGCAATATAACAAAGAGTGAAAAATTTAAGGGGGTCTGAATACTTTCCGTACCCACTGTATATAGTCAGGTTGCTACTAGCAACCATTTTTGATTATCCACTTTCTTCAAAATATCTTCTTTTGTGTTTAACAAAATAAATAAATAATACATTTCTGAAAGAAATGCAGTCATTTAAGGATGATATCTAAACAATTCTACCACTATTCCTTGGATGATTTTATCTCAGCTGATTTCAACAGGGGGTGCTATTGCTTGGACACATATGCACACAATAATCAAGATATAAGAATGCAAAGTTTGAGTTGCTAAGACATTTTAATTAGATTACAATTCATTTAAGGATGATATCTAAACAATTCTACCACTATTCCTTGGATGATTTTATCTCAGCTGATTTCAACAGGGGGTGCTATTGCTTGGACACATATGCAGACAATAATCAAGATATAAGAATGCAAAGTTTGAGTTGCTAAGACATTTTAATTAGATTACAATGATGGTTTAAGCTGTGAAATCTGTATTTTCCATTATAATGGCTCTAATGAAGGACCAGAGTGTTTGATAGTGCTGAATAGTACAGACCCGTGTTAAACCAGAATAATGGGTCAACTGTGGCCTAATGGATTTTAAAGACCCCGTCCCCTCTTACCCCACCATATGGGCCTTTGGAGTCACTTGAGACCTACTGTACTTTCTTTGAAAAGTGCTTAAGTATGTCTGTTCATTGTCAGATCAGGCCATGACTCATGAGCTAAGCTGTCATTTTATGCCAAATGTGCTCACCTCTCCAGCTGTTTATAATCTGCTTTTATTCTCTGCATAGAATTTGTCAGTTAAGGAACAGTTAATAGTTAATTTCACACAAAGAAATTAAAATTTGCTAGTTTACTCTCAGGCCCACCAAGTTGTAGATGAGTTTGTTTCTTCATCGGAACAGATTTGGAGAAATGTAGCATTACACATGATGCCAGTCCATCAATTAACATCTTGTGAAGTGAAAGCTGCGTCTTTGTAATAAATAAATCCATCAAGGTGTTTTAACTTTAAATAGAAAGCAATATTAAAAACGTCTCAATAATGGAATTGTTTGGACTCTCATTCTGACGGCACCCATTCACTGCAGAGGATCACAACAAGTGATGTAATGGATGAACTATTCTTTTAGATGAACATATGTGCCTTTGTGGTTGGAGTCAGTCACACAATCAATAAGAACACACTGATATTAAACGGTATTTGTATATATATATCAAATACTTTCATTTTAACATGTTTAATGCGATTTTGGACCCGTATCCGGGTCCGCGGAGTTTAAGTTTAATACACGTTTGTGGTTTCTTGCTGTTGATGGATCAACTTTTGTGTTTGACATCATGTCAGTAACTTGGTACAGACTAACAAAAAGAATAAGGCATTATTTTGGTGTCTCAGATGTTTTGGTTTGTGCCATACAGTGCTGACGTCTCAAAACGGGTGGTCTATTTCTCCTACTGGAGCTGGAAGGGGCTTCTAAGGAAAACTCATAGGGAGAATAAGACCACATAAAAAAAGTCCTAATAAGAGCAGATAACTAGTCACAAATGGTGAGATTCCCATACTCTTTTAAAAAGAGTATAATGTTTGGATACAGTAGGCTTACAGCCATGTGAAGATGAGGTTAACACAGTACATGTGTTGTTGTCTCGAATGGTCCTTAAATGTCCTGAAACTGTGTCCTTTTAGGACTTGTGCTAAACAAATTTAAGTTTGTATTGCTTTAGAAGAAATTCCCAAAGTGGCTTAATTGGCTGCATCTATCTACATCCAGCTGCTTCCAACTCACCACAACAACATGGACCTGAGATTGTTTACACAGCAACATGGTTGCATAACCATGCTGGTTTCGTCTGGCCAGAGGAGAACCCCGACTGAGCCTGGTTTCTCCTAAGGTTTTTTCTCCATTTCTGTCACCGATGGAGTTTTGGTTCCTTGCTACTGTCGCCTTTGGCTTGCTTAGTTGGGGGCGACTGACTGATTGCACAGACACTATTGGAAGAGAGCTGAACTGGATGATGACTTTAGCTGGAAAAATGACTCTGTTATTGTCTTCTTGCATCATTGACAAACTATTTTCCTGTTTGACACTGTAAAGCTGCTTTGACAAAATCAGTATTGTATAAAGTGCTATACAAATAAAGGTGACTAAAGAAACATCGGTAAATCCTTGTCTAGTCATGATTAAGTTGGACAGTCTCTATTCTACGAGTTTAGCTTGAAAAAGTAAGGAATTTTGGAACAGATATATTGCTGACTCTACAAACCCAATGAAGTCAAAATGAGAGTTTTGTGACTTTTATTCCCTTTCTTTTAGTTTTGAAGCCATCAACAGCATACACCCTTAAAAATAAAGGTTCTTTATTGGCATCGATAGCACTGTGAAAACCCTTTAACATCCTTAGAAATGTTCCATTGCACAAAACATTCTTTATAGTGGGGGAAAAAGGCTCTTTATATTATTAAAATGGTCTTCACATTAAGAAAATAAATGGGGTCTTCACTGAAAGGTTCTTCAGCTAACCAAAAACTGTTCTTCTGTGGCATTGCTGTGAAATACACCTTTTGAAGCCTTTATTTTAGGTTATTTTTTATTTTAGTTAATTTTTTTAGTTTAGAGCAGATGCTATTTAATTCCTAAAAGTTAACAATTATCTTTATAATGTAATGTAATGGTATATATAATATAATATAATATAATATAATTTTTATTATATAAAATTTTATTGTGGCCAGCCTAAGGCACACCTGTGCAATAATCATGCTGTCTAATCAGCATCTTGATATGCCACACCTGTGAGGTGGATGGATTATCTCGGCAAAGGAGAAGTGCTCACTAACACAGATTTAGACAGATTTGTGAACAATATTTGAGAGAAATAGGCCTTTTGTGTACATAGAAAAAGTCTTAGATCTTTGAGTTCAGCTCAGGAAAAATGGGGGCAAAAACAAAAGTGTTGCGTTTATAATTTTGTTCAGTGTAATATAATATTATGAAAGGAACATGCTTTCCCAGATTCAATGTCAACACTGGATAAAATCCCATGAAATGAAGAGTTAAGGTTTCTTTTCAATGCTATTTCCCTATTTATTTGGAAAGAATGAAAACCAAAACTAAGGTCCAAACACATGCCTTTTGTCCTCCTCACTGCAATAAATCATTTCAATCTGTGAATGTTGAATATGTGAGTGTTGTTAAATTCTAGCACAATATCCTGACACATTGTATTCCAAACTCTGTTAATGCAAATCTAAAGAAATCAAAAAAGGCAAAATTGTCTCTTGTCAATAGCACAAGAAGAAATAAAACACAGCTTTAAAAAGTTACTTTCAGACCAAGCAGCTTTCACAAATCTGTGACTAACTTAAACATGAGCAAAATCTATGGTGAACCTATTAGCCCTCAAGTAAAATTCCTGATTGTGGATGGTGCGGATTTCTACTGAAATGACTGGATAGCGCACCTTTAGTTACTGAGCAAATCTTAGTTAATTAACTCAAAAGTGTTTATGTTATGTTGTACCATTCATCTTGGAATTATTCTGACACCTACTGTACTTTAGCGTCATAGATGCAGCATCACACCACAATAATTCACAAGTAAACGACACGACTCCAGTCCATCAATTACATCCTGTGAAGTAAAAAGTTGTGTGTTTGTAAGAAACAAATCCATCATTAAGATGTTTTTAACTTCAAACTGTTGTTTTTGACTAAAATACAAGTTTTTTATCCGTAATATTGCTTTCTCCAGTGAAAAAGTTGTCTCGTCTTAATCAGGAGAAAAATATTCACAAACAAGCGAAAACAGCCCAAAACAGTTCTGAACAAATGTGTCAAATATGGATTTTGGTGTGAGGGGACAACAACGTATTCTAAAGTTAGAACTCCTTAATGAAGGATTTGCTCAATACAAACAGATTTTCAAGTCACAAGAAGTTGTGTGGATTATTGTGGTTTTCATCAGCTGTTTGGACCCTCATTCTGACGGCACCCATTCACTGCAGAGCCATTGGAGAGCAAGTGATGTAATGCTACATTTCTCCAAATCTATTCTGATGAAGAAACAAACTCCAAAGTACATTTTCATTTTGGGTGAACTACTTCTATAACATTAATGATTTGTATACTTCATTCAGGCATGCAATTGCCTTCACAACAAAAATGCACTAGCAAGCAGGTTTATAAAATGACATTCACTTTATGTTGAAGCATGTGTCATTGCTGACAAAAAGCAGACACGCATAACAATGGCATTAATTATTAACAGAGAGAAATGCTTATCAATCATTGACCAATATGTAATCTAAAGAGAAATAATAAACTAGCTCTGGTTGGCTTGTCTCATACACAATCTCAACTGTGCCACTACTTTTCAGCGTCACATGGAATGCAGAAACAGGTTTAGACCTGAACTTCCGTGTCAGGCAGGAAGTAAGTGAAGTGTCAGTGACTAACAGAAGCGCCACAGCTCAGCACCCTGCTGCATGTGGGTTGGGTGGTGTCCACCGTTAAACAGGAAAGAGAGGCATTTTACAGAAAACTTATTTATGACCCCATCACCTAGTCATTAAAGCTGCCAGATAAACCAAGGTAAGTGATGTTTTTCCTCAGACAAATAGGACTAGATTCAGTGGGTTGTCTATTTTGTTCAAATACTTGTTACAGCTGACACTAATCAAGTAAAAATATGATTTTGTAGTGTCTCTGGTGCCTAAGACTTGTCTAATTCCACAGTTCTGTAAATTGTTGTCATAAATAAGTCATTTTAATTGTTTTTTATGAAAAAAGGAGTTAAAATGCTAGACCAGGATGCTGTATCTCTACCTGTATGTTGTATTGATGATTATTGATTAGGGCCCAGACATAAAGATGACATGGGCAGATTTGCTTTTGAGCATTAAGTTGTTTAAACTGGGCAGAAGGCACTGTGGAAAATATCTCAAACTACTGACTCTTTTCTTATGACTGGATTAATTGTCAATTAAATCATTATATTGTTACATTGTTTGACACGGCAAACAGAACAAATAACACCACACCCATATCAGTGTGATATTTGCTAAAACACAATGTCTAATAGTTTTGGACTATCCACTGAATAATACAAAAATTCATCCAGAAAAATATTCCACATGCATAAGTTTTAGCCTCAAAGCATACTTTTTTTTTTGTCTCAGGCTGTACTTATGATGAAGAGGTTTAGTGTTTCAAGCATAACAGCTAAAGTATACAAGCACTGCGACAGGAATCATAGAACGGCACACCAGCCGAGCTAAATCACTGTGCCCGAGTGTTTGATGAAGAAACAAACAGGAGACTGTTTTTCTATCAGGTCAGCAAAAGTCAGCAGTCTGTCTGGGTCTGTAATGACTGTTTTCCTCAGACTAAAATAACTACTAAGGAATGATAGCATCTCGGCGATTTTAAAAAGCATTACTGCAGCAACATTATAGCTACTAGGCTACTCAGAGAACTGTGAAAATGAGCTACGTTATTTTTTTCCGACTCATGGAATGCTGCAAAATATATCTGTTTGTAGGTTTTCTAACGTCTTACATTAATATTTAATTCTGTGGTAAATGCTAACAAGACTGCAGCCTCAAAAATGACATTTGAACGTCTACATATTTGGTAAAACTTTAGAATAGGAAACACATTTCACAATTAACAGTTTTCCCTCAATAAACTGCTAATTTGCTGCTTATTAATAGTTAATAAGGTAGATGTTAAATGTAGGTATAAGGTACGATTATGGGATCTAAAATATGGTCATGCAGAACAAGGCATTAATATGTGCTTTAAATAGCCAATATGCTAGTAATATGCATGCTAATGCACAACTAGTTAGTGGGAATTGGTCCTTAAAATAGTGTTACCATATATTTAGTCTGTTTGTTTAGGAATCAACTCTTATTGATAGTGTTTGCTAAGGCAAGCATCACTATTACTATTGCATTTACGGTAGGTATTTGAACTCCAAAGTAACTTTAGGCACATACTGTAACTAATTTTGTACTTTTAATTTTATACAGATTATGAATTATTACATAAATTAAGCAGCTTGTCGAAGAGAGATGTGCTATGCTATATGCTATATATAAGTGTACTTTTCACAAGGGACTCGCAGTAAGCTAGTATGAGTTGTACATGGGCCAAACACATTTATATCAGACATTTAGTTAATGAAATGAAATATATCCGAAATATACAAAATTCAGGATTTTGTTACAGTTATCCTGCAAGGTAAGACCGGTTTGATTGCAGTATAACTAAATAACTTTCTTGATATTTAATTCAAAACACATGCAATTGTGAAACAAATGGAAACACTGAGCTTTCCAGACTTCAAATCCTACACAGATGCCCTTGCTATGGAATATTATAGTTACCATAACACTTTATATTTTTATTTTATTTTTTTTTTTCTTGAAGCAGAAAATTTACTTATCACCTCAAACATGTCACCAAACATTTACTCTTGACACAAGGTTTCAACATGACTAATGCTGAGCAATTGCATGTTTTTGGTTCTTCCTGTATTGGTACATCAAATCGATGTAGCATAAATCTAAGACATTTGCTTATATTTTAATGTGTATGTCTACTGATAATATATTGATGCATATACTTGTCAGTTGTTTGGAAAAAGACACCGCGTTGTGATAGCTGCAGAGACATTGTGAGTGTCATCTGTTTCCGGTTGGAAACTTTGATGCTTTCAACATCTTGTGAGGGGAAGTCGCTGTAACCACTTCCCCATGTGTAGCAGCACAGAAACAGCTCTCTTATTGGCTGCACGGCAGTGCTTCATTATACAAGAGAATTGTTTTACTCACAGGTGCTGGTGGTACAGACTCTGCCAGTTTAGTCTGACATAATATCAGCTGAAGACCTTGTTTTTGTTGGAATTTTGCTCATATTTTAATGAAGAATCACCTGTGTTGTATTGTGTTCAAGTAAAATCAAAAAAAAAAAGTAAAAATGTAATTTTTAACATAAAAAATAAATTAAATAAATAATTTATTTATACTTATTATTTATTTATTTATTTAAATAAAAATCTTAGAATAACCCTTTAAATGCCACCCTCCATTTTTGAATGTAGATGTGAAAGTGCACTATTCAAACTTTAATTGTTATAACGCTTTGGAATACAAGACCTAAGGTTGGACTCTTTTTTAAGAAGACAATCTGCAGATTATTGCAGAAGTGGAATCATTTCAAAATATTAAAGTATCAAAAAGTTAAAGATGTCAAACTTTGTTCCGTGTTTTGTGTATGTCTTGCTCCCCATGTACCTTCCTATGCCCATATTTGGTTAGTTTCCTGTTCCTGTCCTGATTATGTTGATTTGATTCCAGGTGTTCCCCGTTTTATTTCCATTGATCCCAGGTGTGTCTCGTCCTCTCCTCATCCTGTCATGTGTTTAAATAGTGTTCCCTGTCTTTAGTTCGGCGTCCGGTATTGTACATGTCTACCCGTGTCTACCGGACCAACAAAGAAGTAAGCGGCATCATTCCCCCGTGTTTGTTTTCCGCCTTTTGTGAAAGTTTTTTGTTTCCCCTGTTTTTCCCGCGGCATGGAAATTGCCGCTCGGTTTGCCGCCCTAGCTCGCCTGGATCTCCCCTTCGTTGAGTATTCCTGGGAGTTCTGCAGGTTCACCGCGGCTATGGCCTTAGATGACTCCACCGTCAACTCGCTGTTCTGGCACGGGGCCAACTACCATCGCCCCGTGGACCTCCCAGACACCAAGAGACTAAGCTGGAGGGAAGGAATCCTGGCCTCGAGCCAGAACCAGCCCACCAGCCGCAGCATCGTCAAGTTAACCGGCCGCTCCGAAGTTCAGCGTGCCGGCCGTGCCGTTGTCATGCCCCCCGGCCATGGTTCACTGCAGCCCACCGGCCGCGCCGAAGACAAGCCCGCCAGCCCCAGAGCCCGCTCCCGTGTCGGCTCAAGCCCCAGAGCTTGCTCCAGTGCCAGCTCCTCGAAAGCGCCTTGCTGTGCCTGCTCCTCCAGAGCGCCCTCCAGTGCCAGCACCTCGTAAGAGCTTCCCAGACCCCCAGTCAAGCCCAGGGAGGGCTCCTGATTCCCCGTTTAGCCCAGGGAGGGCTCCTGATCCTCTTTTTGCCCAGGGAGGGCTCCTGCTCCCCCGTTAAGCCCAGGGAGGGCTCCTGACCCCCCGTTAAGCCCAGGTAGGGCTCCAGGCCCCGAGTTCAGCCCCTTAAGTCCCCCCTTGGGGGGGTAGTAAGGCTCCAGCTGTAGAGGCCGGGGCGGGTGCTGCGGCCGCGGCCTCTGAGGCGGCTCCGCTATGGCTTCCTGAACTGTTTGCTACGCCATGGCCTCCTGAGCTCCCGGCTCCGCCATGGCTCTCCGTGCTCCCTGCTCCGCCATGGCCTCCCGAGTCTCCTGATCTGCCATGGCGCCGCGAACGGGTACCGCTCTGGAGGCCCGCCGTCCTGTGTCTGTCCTGAGGGACCTCCAGAGTGCTCACCCCCCCCCTCCCTGTTGGATGTTGTGTGGTGCGAGGACACGCCTTCCGGGAGTGGGGAGTTATGTCAGACTTTGTTCCATGTTTTGTGTGTGTCTTGCTCCCCATGTACCTTCCATGGGCATAGGCCCATATTTGGTTAGTTTCCTGTTCCTGTCCTAATTATGTTGATTTGATTCCAGGTGTTCCCCGTTTTATTTCCATTGATCCCAGGTGTGTCTCATCCTCTCCTCATCCTGTCATGTGTTTAAATAGTGTTCCCTGTCTTTAGTTCAGCATCCGGTATTGTACATGTCTACCCGTGTTACGTGTGTTTTCCTTGTTCCCTGGATGGCATTAAAGCTTGTTGGTTTGAATTCTACTGCTCGTCTCTTCGCTCCTTCGTCTCCGTGCTCCACACAGTAGCACGACGTGACAAAAGACGTTTAAATTTACTGTAAAGAAAATGCACTGTACCATATTTTATATAAATTAAATATTTTTTAATCCAAAATTGCTAAAAATTAAAGCCTTATGTCTAAATAAGTTATGTCCTCATAAAATTGAGGTTCCTGAGAGATTTTATTTAGGACGTTATACCGCAAACAGCCACCGGGTGCCATCAAAACTCCATTTAATTTGTATTATGTTACAAATATCTAAATATCTCTGTCAATATTACTTCTATAAAATAACCACGAAATATGGAATCTTGAGACTCAGACCTTTCCGACGATATGTATTTTGTCAAGATTATAAAAAGTTTTGATTCTAAAAGACCATAATACATTTTGTAATATGACACCTGACTCCACCCACTAAGGGGAAGGAGACTGCCAAAAGATTAGAAAGTACCATTTCCATGGTAACGCAATGTCCGATTTCAAAATGGTTGATGAATTTTGAGATTTTAAGCTTTCAAATGATATGTAATTTATGATTATTACTAAGATATGTGACAGAGAAAAAAGACAACAACAAAAAAAGAGCGCCAACGGGCCCACTGGCATTTAAGAGGTTAAATAAAAGAAAAACTATTGTAGTTCTGATCCTCCCAATATTGCTTTAATCCCTCCCTCAATGTAAGTTTATGGATTTGCCTTTTTTATCATCCAGCAGGAGAAAAACTTAAAGTATGCTTCTTCTCAATAAGCTACATGATTTAAAGGAATCATTCATCTCTGTGGCACAAATCATGCGATACAAGCTCGACGTCGATGTTTAAAAAGTGATAACATGTGCATTAATTCAAAATGGTTGCACAAACGAATTGCTGAATGTGGGAGAAAAAGGGGGAAGTAGGCCAGAGTTGGGTATTTTGGACCAAGATTTACAGACATTGTCTTATTATAGCTGAACTGCGTGCGGGCAGATAGAATAATCAGAAGTGACGATAATTAACAGATCTTAAACTGGCTTATATATTTTAACTGTGAGAAAAGGGAAGTTTAATCTAGAACATGAACTTATTTATTAATTTGCTGTATCTCCAAAATTTACAATAGAATGAGACAGAGAATTCAAACAAATTAATTTGCTTGCAATTCATACTTTCTGTAATATTGTACACTCAGGTAGTACTGAGCATTCATGGACAAGATTCTGCATGTCTTGGCAAAGAATGAGTTATGCAAGCCACACTTTTATCTCTAGCCTCTGTATGGATATTGTGCAATGTTTAGCTTTGGGTTATGTTTTTTTTTTTACTTGTGCACAGGTACTCTGCTCTATAAACACACGTTGCTGTAATCAAAAATCGCACCATCCAATTGACCAATTCTGCACAGCGGTTACAAAAGCTGCCAGATTATGCAGATGGCAACACCAGTGGGGGAAAAAAATAAAAAATAAACTTTTTCAGGCTTATAGCTTTCTCGTATTCTCCGTAAAGGGCAGATGTATTGATACTCGAAACCACGATCAGCAATGCAGCGATTGGCTGGCGGCAAGACAGCAAGGTAATGACATCATATAATAAAAAAAAAAACACCTGACGAAAAACTTGACATTTTTTTGGACTTTTATAAGGAAACAGCCAAGTGAACTAAACTACATAAATGTTTTTATTTTATTTTAATTTTTTACATGTGTAGTTACAAAGTTACTTATAGTTAGTAGAATGTCTAAAGTGGACTATCGAAATCAAGTGTAACCTAAGTAACTGATCTAATGATGTTCATCTGAGAATGCTGACTCACAGCTGTATGTAGAATCAAGCATAGTCAGGATGTTTGCATGCATGAGTATTCAGTGATGCTTCATGTTATCACTTTTCATAAGCACTACGAGCTCATAAGACACATTGGTTTAACACAACGAGGAGATAATAAAAGTGACAGATTAATCTAAATCAATCAGATGGTCATGCAATATATGTCACAGGCCATATTTGCCTCACAGGCCAACAGTTCAAGAGCCCTGGGTTAGGACAATAAGTACAGCTGGCCAGTCTTTATTGCAAAGTAAACAAAAGTTTACAATTATACATGTTAAAATGAACACTATCTATCATAAGCCATAGTCGTAGTAACATGTGGAGTCACAAAATGATGCCAATCAGCTTTTCGAATCTCCACTGACACAGAAAGAGAGAATGCATGTAGTGACATGAAAGCAGTGCAGTATGTTGCCATGGTCGATGATGAAAACCTCCAGTTTAGTAGTTATTATATTTAAAAAATATATATTTGGTTGCTATTTATTTTAAGGTGACGTTGTAATAGTTTAATCATATGAACATGTACTAAGTAAGTAACTATATGTACTTAATATAGGGTAGTTAGGAATAGGGTTTGGTTTAGGGTTACTTGTAATTATGCATTATTTACTGTTATAACTATAGTAAGTACACCTTAAAATAAAGTCTTAGCAAATATTTGACTTATCAATGTTGCGATTGAGAAAGTATTGCATACGGACATAATAAATGAAATTACACTGAAAATATGTTTGCATTTACATTTAATAATCAGAATACATTTGTTAAAACTAGGCCTGTGTTCACACCTTGAGTTCTGTGTTCTTTGTATTTTCCGTGCTGCACTTACATCATTATTTACAGTCTTTAAGCAGAGTTGTTCACAATCCTATTGCATGACTTGTTCTAAAGATGTAAATTCTCATCTTTCAACTATTCCTGTTGCAGATGGATGACATTGATGCCATGTTCAGCGACATGCTGCAGGAGATGGATCTCCTAACGCAGGTATGTTTCCTGTGGATGTGTCTCATATCTTCAAGAGGGAAAACCTGGCTCATCAGTGCAATGTATGCCTTTATGTGCTTTTATGTAAAAAAAAAAGATATGAAATAGATTATGGCTACTTCAATAGAACACAACATTTATATCCCATTCAAACAAAGGCAATGAACATTTTCATTCGGTTTCATTAATGAGATGTGGTGAGTTCAAAATGTGTATATTTTCTCAATGCAAAATAAATTAGTAATGGTATAAGTCAGCTGCAAACAGTATGAGCACAAAATATGGAACAAAAGCAGGAAGCACACATATTAAGATTAATACATTTCACATCTGTTTAATAAGATGATAGTTCCTTTACTGTTTTTTCTGTAGTTAAAAAAAATTGCTTCCGTATTTGTCTTTCATATGACTTGTTCCTCATTTGTCTTTTCACAGAGTTTGGGTGCAGAAGAAGAGTCTGCGCCTTTGCCTAAACCTCCCTCCATTCCTGACCCTCAGCAAATGAATTTTTCCATTGGTTTTACAGATTTCAATGGTAAACAATATTTCATCCTAATATTTTTCACCCGTGTCTGCTTCTTTACCAAATTATTTCACCTAAAAGGCTCTGTTCATCAAGTGTTGCTTTTTGAAGGAAATTAGTGATTAATTAACTACAAAATTGCTTGCAATTATGTCTGAGGGCAGCCCAAAGATGAACAGTTGTTTGAAGTGAAGAATGTTTCTGTACAATATGTCTGCAATCAAAGTCTGAATAGCTTACATATTGTCCTCGTTCAGCTCTAAAATTATACTCTGTTAAGCTAAAAAAAATAAAAGCTTTATTTTGGATGCGATTAATCACGATTAATCGTTTGACAGTAAGAATTCATCCATAAATATTTTAGATATACTGTAAGAGGGTTGTCAATTTTTGAAATAAATATTATGTATAATAATAATAATAATAATAATAATAGTATGTATTATTTAGTGCTGTCAAGCGCTAAAAAATCTAAGTAATTAATCGCACTGAGTCATACATTTTTCTGAAATTAATCATGATTAATCCCACCTAACAATAACGTTTTTAAATATACTTTTATATTGCAATGACTTTACATTCAATCTCCAAATCAATGTAGAAACAACATATGTTTTTAATATTTGTTTAATAACATCTTTTTTTATGACTGAAGGCGAGTATCAATGTTACCAATACTACTGATGTCTCTAGGAAATTGTTTCCCCCCCCAATATTTTACCATTGACTATAGCCATTCAACATTACAGTATAATAAATACCCATAATAAATGTCATAGTTAGCTACCTGTGCCCTTCAGCATGTAAGAAATGGAATCAAGTTATAAAACATTAAATTATAAATTTAAATCCTTAAAGGTACCAAAGTTATTGATTTCCTCTTTTTTTCTTTTGTTCTTTGATTAACAGACATCACAGCAGCTGGGTTTGAGGTTATTTTGTCTGCTTTAATAGCTGCCACTGCTGAACATGACGCAGATCTGACAAGCATCGTATTTTCTTTAACTTTTCTGACCCACCTCAGGTCTTAAAGTCCCCACTAATGAGCTGACGAGTTGAATCGGGTGTGTTAGATGAGGGAGACAGTGCTGGGCTGCTCAAGGACAGTTTTGAAAACCACTGCATTTCAGAGACATGTTCTTTAAATGTGACTCATATATAACAAATACTTACATAAATGCACAGTTTTAATGCAGCTTTCATATACCCGGCGCAATGCGGCACCAGGCACGACGCAAGTGTTTTTTGCTATTTTCAGCCCAACGCAGTTATCATTTTCACGTCCCACGCCACGTTGTTTAAATAGCAAATGCATTTACGCCCATTTGTGCGCCCATGGGCGTGCTGGTCTGAAAACTAGGTGTTTTCAGGCGCATTGTTGGCGCGTTGCTATTTTGAGGCAACTGAAATAGACTGTGCCATTGACCAAAAAAAGACAATGATGAATTAATAATAGTCAGAAGAGGATCTATGACTTCTGGAAGCACCTCTTTTATGAGCTTAGATGGAATAGGGTCTAACATGTTGTTGGTTTAGATCATTTAACAAGTTTATAAAATTCTTCCTCCCCTATAGTAGAGAATGAGTGGAATGGTCTAGGTGGTCATACAGCATATGCCTTAAATACGGGACGATTCCGTATTAGCCTATACAGAACGGTTGGCAACCCTAGACATAAGGGCTGAGAACATCTCATCTGACCGCAGCTCACTGATGTTCTACTGAAGCTCCTCGCCACCTGTAGCACCTGACGCTGAGGAGAAGTTGGAGTGCGCGTCTGAAAAGTTTCCCATTTGATGTGGTCGTAAGGACGTTCTGCGTCTAAATAAACACAATTCTTGTCAAGAAAAATAGACAGAAGCAGCAGCTGTGTGTAGGCTGGCCAACTGCGTTAATTGCGTTAAATAATTTTAATACGTTAAAGTGTAAAAATGAATCGTATGCATTAACGAGCTAATTTTGACAGCACTGTTATTTTATTTATTTATATGCATACATTTCAGTGAAGACTTCAAAACTGAGTGATTGTACCAGAATTTATTCTATTAAATTAGTCTGTAAATTATTATGGTGAAGCAGCTGACTTATAAACAAGTTGCAGTGCTGTTGAAATAATGCTGTGCTTTAGGGTTAGCTACAATAAATAACTGTTTGATCCTAGGATTGGAGGTATGTTCATAATTTGTATCTCATTTGTAAATTTTCGTACGATTTACGATGGGGTTGGGGTGGACCTTCATGCTTATTATTATAACTATTATTTTTTTTATAAATCTTATGTTTTGTATCATATTTTACAAAATTCATATGATAAAGCACACCTAAAATACTTAGGTCTTGTCATGAGATCAGGTTGTGATATTTTGTTTTCCCCCCACATGTCATGTGGGGGCTCCGTAGGTTGTCAACAATGTGACTTTTTTTTTTCTCTCCACATTGTGACCCTGTGTTCCTCTAAAGCATCCCTACATGATCTGGAAGACAATGACTTGGATGCCTTGATGGCTGACCTGGTGGCAGATATCAGTGCCACTGAGGAAAAGTTTGCCACAGAAAAAGATACATTGAAGGGGTCAGCTCCAGTTGCCCCAATACCCTCACAGCCTCAGGATAATTTTAGCCTCCCAGCATCAACTGACACCTCAAGACATGCAACTTCCTCCAACTCCATTGCAGCTCCAGCTCCACCACCCGCCTCCAAACCCTCAAAAGTAAGTAGCATTCTGAATGGTCCGCACACCCACAGGCCTCATGTGGTTAACACATACTTAGTTGAATGTTACAGGGCTTATTTTAACCCAACCAGGCCAAACAACAGATGTGAGTGGATATAATGGAATTTAAGTGCAGCCAACACTGTAAAACTGCAATAACTTTATGAAGTATGAACCTTATGAATGTCTACAGTATCCATTTCTACTCGGCATGTAAAAAAGCCTAACCATAAAATGTAATTATCCTTATGATTGCAATGTCAGCTCAGCCGGATATTCTTTTTTTTTTTTTTTTTTAATGTCTAGCCCAGTGCTTGGCAGAATGTACAACAGGAGATATCCAGATGGTTTTATAATGTAGATCAGCTCTGTTTCAAAACCTTAAGTGAGGTGCCAACCTAGCAAGCACTTTAAATAATTACATACTGTATGTAGCCTACTTGTGATGTGAAGGCTGTTCAACAAGTTGGGCAGCATAATTGACCCTGCCTGGTGATGTTCTGGGATAGGCTATTGTACATGTGTGAAAACATTTGTATGTATTTAATGCTAATTAATCACATTACTAGCTTAGCATCATGCTAACGTTAACTCTACTTTGTACACTGTGCGGAGCTGCTGCCTATGTGAAGCGTTCAAAATAAGCCACATATGAGGTTCTATTACAGTTAAGACTCTCTGAGACTGCAAAACCAGACAACACGATACCATCTTACTCTTGTCGTTTTTAGACTCTGTGGAGAGTCAAAATAAAACCTTGCATTTCCCATATGTAGAGCCCTTTAACGTCACATTGACCCCATGAAACCACAATTAAGTTCAGATCACTCCAAAAATGACTGATATACTGTATATTGTTACGTCTGTTAGTTAATGATTATTTTGTTTCCCTCAGGAAGAACTAGAGGAACAGATCAAAGCAGATAAAATCAAGCTTGCTTTGGAGAAGCTAAAGGAGGCCAAAGTGAAAAAGGTGAGAGATACAGTTGTTTTAATATTTTTTCCATCTTGAATGCACTTGAATGATTTTAATATTCATTGCAGTCAGCCACTGCTCATGATGATTCATGCTGGCTTTGGTTATTCTAAAACAGCTGAAGACTGTTTCTAAATCCATTTATCAAGAATGTGAGTCAATTAACTGCAAAAATATAGGTGTTTTTCATGGCATCGTTCAATGCTGTGGGGTAGAAAATGCTAGCTGCATTTTAGGTGATCTGGATGAGAGGACATACACCACACTGATCCATTTCTAAAAGAGTAATAATATCAGACAGTCAGATCAGGGCATTCTAAAGCATGCCTACACCCTGCTACACACTCAGGCCTCTTCCCTCTCATGGAAGCCCAAGGAGGCCTTATGTTGGACATCCCTTGAGAGAAATCACAAACACTATCTGTTTAATCTAAATCATTTGCCCTATTCTTACATCAGTATGAATAAATAGAGAAACTGGCTTTTTTTGCATTAAAAGAACTACTGTGAGAAGAAATTGCTGATGAAAAGGCATGGATACAGTGATTTTTATTGTAACTTATTGTATATGCATTTTTTGAAGTCTCCCTTTCAGACACAAAATTTATGGGAGGAGAATATTTAAATAAATCATGCAACATTTTTACATACAATTTTCATTAGTCAATTTACTGGTATTTGTACCATTATTGAATGCCCAAAAAGCATGTCTTGTGCTGCTCCTGCATCTGTGTTCTTTAATTTGTGCATTGTTGTTAGATCAGCCACAGAACTTTCTACTCCCATCAGCGTTTATGAGATTGCATTTGCATGCTAATTTGCCCTGTTTAGTAACTCTGGCTCTTGGACTGAGATCAGCTACTTCTTAGATGTTTCTCCTAAGAAGAAAAAAGGAGAAAATCCATCTTCTTGACTTGGACTCAACCCTATTCAGGTCTCGGTCTTGACTCAGACTCAACCCTCTTCAGGTCTCGGTCTTTACTCAGACTCAACCCTCTTTCTGTGTCGGTCTTGACTCAGGCTCAGCCCTGTTCAGGTCTCAGTGTAGACTCGGATTCAACCATCTTCAGGCCTCTGGCTTCTCTGACTCAATACTTTTCAGGTCTTTGTCGACTTGGTCTCTTTCTTGACTTAGACACAACCATCTTCAGGTCTCTGTCTTGAATTGGACTCGACCCTCTTTCAGCCTCTGTTCTGACTCTGACTCAACCTACTCAGGTCTTCACCTGACCTCATATGAGCTGGTCTCGACTACATAATTGTCCAAATTAAATGTATAGATCCATAATTATACAATATGTTAAATGTTGCATAGTCTATGTGAATTTTGGGTCTCATAAAGAATATTAAAAGAAGAATCTTAGACAAAATATCATGAAGACTAAATAGCCTCTTGAGCAATAAAAGAGCAAGCTTTGAGCAATAATTGTTTGCAATAACAAGGGCGTAGACTGCAGGAGGGATCAACAGTCTGATTTCTAATTAGTCTGGTTATTATTTACATGACCCACACTGACTTAATGCCTCCACTGAGTGATCTAAAGTTGGCTACTCAAAGTGGTTCACCAACAGTGTACAGTATATTTTGTAACAGTGATTACAGCAAGGACAGATTTAAAGTTGCAACTATAATTGAACAATGTGGTCTGTACAAACCATGAAAACGTGACAGTTTTGAATGCACTAAGTTATACTTTTAGCATTATTGCTGATATTCAGGGATGTCCCTGTGCAGTTCACAAGACATTACAGAGCCAGTAGTTTCCTTAAACTTATTGTCATTTATCCTTCCCATCTGTTTCACGGAAAATGTATCCTTCTATAAGGCATTTATATCTCTGTCTTCCAAACATCTGTGCATAGACTTGGTTGAAAAGACCAGCATGGCTTTTCACCAGCATGTCCTTATGTGTTCCCATCGGGCTCCTTAAACTATTTAGATTTCAACTAGTTTTGTTTAGCCAGAAGTTCCATTTGGTCCACTTTGCAGAATATTCTGGCCAAGAACCACTCACTTAAACAGGATGAAACCATCTGACCAACATCTAAAGCATCAGATCAGTTTTTGTTTTAGTCTTTTTGGGCATGCAAAAATTTTGTCGCACAGATTTCAATAAACTATGCCACAATTCCATGAAAAGCAGATGCCAATCACCACAAAAAAGAAACAAACAAACATGCGTTAATTGAGTTCAACCTTGTTATTTATGGTTTGTTGTGATAGCTGGTTGTAAAAGTGGAGATTATGGATGGCAGCTCAAAGACTCTGATGGTGGATGAGAGACAAACAGTCAGAGATGTGATAGACAACCTGTTTGAGAAGACCCACTGTGACTGCAATGTGGACTGGTGTGTGTGCGAGACCAACCCTGACTTACAGACTGGTGAGTATCATCCATGTACACACACACCTGCATGTCCATTCAGCTGTCATCAGCTTTATAGGGCTGGATTTTGCGAAGATGATGAAGTGTGTTTTTACTGGCGTGCTGACAGCCAGGCTCCAGTGAGCTCACAGAACAGAGCTGACATACCACTATACACATTCACTCTCATACACCAAACGGCAGGTGGGTTTAATTTACTGCCCCAGACACCATCACTCAATCTCCTTATCATGAGGAAATACAGTCCTTATGATCGAAATCCCCAATTTCTCTTTCTCCATCTGCTGTGAGGCTTCATCTACAGCCATTACCATATGTTTGCTTTCTGACTGCCAAATTTGAGATGAATAGACTGGATTTGTCTTGTTATTATTCCATTTTTTCTCATCCCTAGAGAAAAAAAAGTGCACATAATTGTATTGAATGTACACTTGTGGTGTACTTCAAACCTAAAAGTATATTTAAAAACAAAAACAGAGAAGAAGTCTTTTATCAATGAAATAAAAATGCTCTAAGTTAAAGTTCTTTGTTACACCCAGGTTAATTTTAGAGAAGCATCATCCTCGCATGATGATGTTTTATACTGCGAGTGACTTATAATCATGAGGGAACATCTAAACAGCTCTGACACACAGCTGTCCACATATACAGCTCATCACTCCCGTCTATTAGTGTGCTCTCATCGTGTTGAGGGACACAGGAAATCACACATATGCTCAGGGAAAATAGCTTCCATTTATTGCCTGCGAAGCAGACTCACACCATCAGTTTAATGCCAGTAACCACACCAAACATCAGACCACCCAGAAGATCTCTTCATTCCAGTTTTTAATCAGTATATGAGAATCTGAGAGGTTGCAGACAGCATAGTACATATAAGACCACAATGTCTGGGTTGGCACAGATGCAATGGGAGGTGCATACAGTAAAAACCTGACATTTGGTTAATGAGTTGAATGTGTTTTGCTGCTTATTGATAGTAAGTAAGGTAGTTGTTTGTAGTAGTTATGTTTAGGTTTTGAGTAGGGTTAAGGGATCTAGAATATGTTTGTGCAGAATAAGAAATTAAAATGTGCTTTATAAGTACTAATAAACAGCCAATATGCTAGTAATATGCATGCTAATAAGCAGCTAGTTAATAGTGTTCCTTTATCTAAAGTGTTATTTCTCAAGTTATTTTCCATAATTATAAAAAAAAAAACTGCAGGTTTTTGCTATTATTTTTTTTTTCTGTTAATACTTTCAGCTTCAATCCAATAAACAAGCTAAAGTCATGTTAACAGTTTAAAAAAGAAAACAGCTTACATCAGTTACTTTCAGAGGAAGTTCTGCCCTATATTTTAGTTTGCTGTTTACTTTCATGCTTATATTAGTCTGTTCATTTTACAGCTATTTCAGGAAGCCAAGACCAAGTCCTGTCAATTTGAATGGGAAAATCCTTAAATCTAAAAAAAAGGCAAATCAGCGACAAAATGTGTGTGTGTGTGTGTGTGTGTGTGTGTGTGTGTGTGTGTGTGTCTGTGTGTGTGTGTGTGCAATTAAAGTTAACATTGTTTTCCATCCAGGCTTATTGCTGGTAAAGCTGCAAGGTAAACCCGAGATCATGGTTTATTTATTTATAGTAATATTAAGTTGCTGTGGATAAAAGTGTCTGTCAAATGATTCTTTACACAACCTGTGCATAAGTTTAAGGAGGCAATATCAATTATCAATATTTAGTTATAAAAAGGAGAATTTGGTACAGACAAAAATGATGACATTTGAATTGACTTTGAACTTTCCACAGAACGAGGGTTTGAGGACCATGAGAACCTAGTGGAGCCTCTTTCTACATGGACAAGGGACACTGAAAACAAAGTGCTTTTTCAGGAGAAAAAAGACAAGTATGAAGTGTTCAGAAACCCTCAGGCAAGTGTTTGAACAGCTATCTGTGCTTCTTGATGATACAAATACAGAGTTCTGGCATGAAACTCTAGATGGCGCAGTCCGATAGGTCTAACTCAATCTGACCTAATGACATCATTATCACATGGCACGGCTGATTGGTTCTCTCCTGTATCGGTAGCCAATGAGCTCGCTGCTCAAACTTCAAATATATGATTAGTGCTTGCAGTAGCAGTGCAGCTTGCTTCAGAATCCCTCCACCTTCCCCAGCTCCACCTGTATAGATCTGCTACAAGGTGATTGATGTACGTTATATGGGGTTATTTCATGTGTTATATTCGCAGCAGCAATATTTCTTACATGCTCACAGCAGCATGTTGTGGATGTATTGGCAGTAGCAAGTCTCGGTACTTGCTCTGCCGCAGCAGCAGCAGCGTAGCAGATCTATTCCACCAAGACCAAATACATTAACAATGCCTTGTCAATCCCTCTGAGAGTTGTCATGATAGAAATTAAATTACTAATAAATAGCCAGCACTTTACTTTAAGGACCAGTTCTCACTATTAACTAGTTGCTTATTACTAGCATATTAATTAGCACATATTAATGCCTTATCCTGCATGATTCTACATCCCTTACTCTTACCCCATACCTAAACTTAACTACTACTTTACTAACTATTAATTAGCAGCAAATTAGGAGTTTATTGAGGCAAAAGTTGTAGTTAATAGTTAGTAAATACTGAGAATTGATCCCCAAACTAAAGTGTGACCAATAAATAACTTAAAAGAAAAGCTCTAAAAATAGTAGATACTTCTATACAGTATTTCCTAGACAGTTCTGCTTGTAAGAACTGTGCCATTTCTAACACTAAAACAATTCACTAACTTCTCTATTTTGTGTGTCCTGTAACTTCAGTGAAAATGGAACAGAAATTGGAAAAAACAGTTAATCTCAGTACATTGACAGTTTTCTCTAATGGTAGAAGAAGTGTCAGTTTGTGTAGAAGGAACTGTCTTTAAAGTAGCCTCATGACAAACAAGAATACTTGACAATTAATTCCTGAAATTTTGCCGAATGCTAGATTAAGTTAATTTTAATTTCTTTCACAGAATTTTTATTTGTGGAAAAAGGATAAGAAATCTCTAAAGGACATGAAAGAAAAAGACAAAGAACAACTTCTGGAGGTGAGTCTGGCTTTAACTTTGATGTAATGGAGAGACTTCATCTAAAGATAAAGATGAAGACATTCATCAAAAGAAATGTAATGGTGTAATATTTAACATCATAATGGAACCCTCTTGATCAAGTAATGGAGGTCTAAACAAGTCTGACCCATTCCAATGTGTGTTCTGCAGAATTGTATATGGAATGACACGAGTGTAAGCGTATGATGAAAAACTTCATGTCTGGTTCTGTATTCCTGTAGGAGAACTTCTGTGGAGCCTCCGTCATTGTGCCTGACCTGGAGGGCATTCTGTATCTGAAGGAGGATGGAAAGAAATCCTGGAAACAGCGTTACTTCCTGCTGCGGGCCTCTGGACTGTATTACTCACCCAAAGGCAAGACAAAGGTCAGCTCAGGCAATCCAGGCAGTAAAACAGTGTATTTTTTGACCAGACATGGAGTTCAGACAAATCCTCACTCGTTAAGCTCAATGTACATCGGGTTGCTATATAGACCTAAATAATAACTGGCTTGGGGAAAAGGTAAAGCAACTAAATTTTGTTGAGTAACGGGTTTCACTCCGTCTTCATCAGGCTTCACGGGATCTTGTGTGCTTGGTGCAGTTTGACAATGTGAACGTCTACTACTGCAAAGAATACAGAATCAAATACAAAGCACCAACAGACCACTGCTTCATTCTTAAGGTACGATTTCACCCCACTCTTGTGAAAAAGAAGCACACTTTATTGAATTGAATGTGCATTTGTAATGTACATGAAATCTTAAACTTACACACACACACAAGACATATGTAT